CGCCGGCCCAGGGCGCCCAGGGCTCGGCCGCACTAGGACCCGGCCCGGAAGAGGGCGGGTGCTCTGTCCTGAGGACATCTAATGCCTGATCAGGAATTTGCATGGGGGAGGAGGGACCCTAGCCTGGCTCTCAAGGTTCACAAGCCCCACGTGGAGATTTGGGTGCAAAGGCCCCTCCACAAAGCTCCCTCCTCACTCTGCAGAACCACGCTGATGCTTGAACACCGTGGCCCCCAGGCGCTGAGGAAATCTGGAGCCACCGCCACCCCAAGCCCCGTGTTCACAATCATTTAATTTTTGCCTAACTGGCTTCCTCCCTCACTCCCCCTATTGTGGGATGCTGGTCCCTAAGCACTGCAGATACGGGCACCAAGCAAGCTTTCTCCGTACTGGCTCTGCCGGTGGCTGGGGCACACCACACGGTTCCACGCACAGAGCTGGCGCCCGCCCCCACGGGGACCCCTCGGCAAACCCTGGAGGCTGGAAGCATCCGACTAAGAAACCTCCACTTTCCATCTCAGGCTCCTAAGAAACAGTTTTGCACCCCTGGCTGAGCCATCTGCCCAGCCCCTCAGAGCTAACTTTCCAGAACTCTCCAAAGCTCATCCCAGCAGGCTGTAAGGAGGCAGGAAAAGTTTTATGTGTTCCCCCAGAAAGTAATTCTAAAAATGCATCTGCCCCCACCCCCCCCACACACACACAACCTCCACGTTGAAACCCACAAATCATTGCTCTTTTTCCAAAGCACTGGGTTCCTGCAGCCCCCGCGAGCGTGGCCGGACCCCTTCCCGCCATCGGGGTGCCTCCCTCTCCCAGGGCCTGGTACCCATGCTGGTCCTGGGGTGAGCAAAGCCAGACGCACCAATTCCGCCCCCCACCTGGAGGCACGCCTTCCACAAACAGAATCCTATTTAAATCTGGAAAGCAAGGCCCATTTCCCCTTCAGCAGCAGCGGAAGGAGGGGGGGGGATTATGAAGAATAAAAGTGATGAATTAGCCGCTGCGTTCAGCGATAATAAATCAGTCTTGGGCTGATGCCGATCAATTCCAATTAGTCGTGAATATGCTAAGTAAAGCGTCCGACACTGGTTTAGACAGTTATTTCTTCATTAAGGACCAGTCACTGATTCTTTTCACAAACGCTGTAATCTGATTTCCTTTTGATTTCCATTACAGACAGTGAATAATGACATTTAATTTAGCTCTGCGCCATAAACCCAAAGATATTTCTTGTAATTAAATTACCGCCTGCTCCTCGCCGGGGTCTCATAACTTTGTATTATAACCGTGACAGCTGGGGGACGGGAGCTCCGGCGTGCGGCTAAAAATAAAAGGTTAATAAGGCCTCGCTTCTCGGGGCCTCAATTTATTTAGAGCAAATTTCCACACGAAATTGAAACCCTATCCTCCAACAACACGCCGCAGCAGGAAGGATGGCCCCAGCGCCAGACACGGCAGGAAGATGCAGTTCATTTTCACCCGGTGGTTGATCCTAATTCCCGCCGCAGCCCCAGGACCTCCGCGCGGACGCCGCGCTCTCTCGAGTTGATTTTCCCGAGCACGGTCCGCTCGCTCTTCATATTCACGGGCTCCTTTTTCCCTGCGGCCAAAATGGTTTCCTCTCGCTCCGCGTTCGTTTTTATTCTTATTTGCAGCCGTGAAATTTCAATTCGCCTCTGGACGGACAGGCACCCCGTTCTCCCCCTTTTATTTTAGGGCTTTTCCGAGGACCCGCGGCCACCCAGGAATCGACATCCCGCCCCTCGGTGGGGTCCTGCCGAGGCCGCTTCAGTAATAGACTACTGGACGGAAGACTGCGGAATTCAATTACAAGTAATTTATTTTTATAGAAACAGTCCATCAAGGCCTGCGAGATATTACCCATCCCGGGCAGAGAGACACGGTGAGATGACATCAAAGTTGATGTCCCCTCCAGCAAAAGTTTAATCTTTTCATTAATTTATATGGTGCAGCCCAATCCGTCTTCCCCAGAAGTGTGGCGGCCAGCGGGGAAAGCCACCCTCGGTGGTCACCTCCTCCGGCCTCGGCCACAGACGCCTCACCGCACTGGACCGCAAGCAAGGTCGCCAGAGCGCCTCTGCCTGCTGGTCACGCCTGGGCAGGAAGGTCCTGGGGACCCTGCCACTGACGGAAGCTCTGCAAGTCCCCGGGCAGCGAGGCGTTTCACCCTAACTCAGCCTTTTTTT